AAATCACACAGCAATATGTGTAAGTCTAACAATATTTAGTACCACTCATTCAGGAGTTTTTCATGTAAGCTCCAATTTATGAGGATAAAGTTTCATAGAACTATACCAGGGTATTTGAATCTGAAGTGCTAATGCCAAAAGCATTCCCTGATAACATCAAGATTAATGATGTTTGCACAAAAAATTGTGTCACAGTCAGATAAAATAAATGCCAAAAAACTAAAAAAACACATATTTCTCATCCATTGGATTGACACAAGGATATTACATGAAGTTCTGAACATCCAGTAACATTAATTTTTTCTTGTAGTATCTATAAGAGCTCAACTTCCAAAAAAGTTTGAAGCTACTATTTGATTATTCCATACTTCAGAATGTTTGAATATCTCCCCTGAGGAAACTCATGACAAACATTATGCTCTTCAGAAATCCACGTATTGGGCATCTCCAATGACACCTAATGACAACTCAAAGATGAAACAACACACCAGTGACTACAGTAGGAGTATGAGAGTCCAACCCAGCTCCTGATTAAACACCTTTTCCATCTGTTCATCTTAGAAGAGTGAAATGAAAGAAGATAGCACATCCCTCTCTATTAGGCCTTCAAAACTAGGCCTCTGCTCCAGCAATAATCTGTATTTCATGAACCCAACTATGTGCTTGCAAAGAGTGAGTTTTCAATGATGATTAAGAGCTTTGTTTTGCTTAAGCAGATACCTATTTCCATCAAAATATAAGCCTGAAAAGCAGATTTATTTTCACTAGAATAAAAAAAAAATTTAAAAAAAAATTGCCAAACCCAGAATGGCAAATATTCAGTACTATATTATAAACCTTCCTCTACCAGAATTTCATTTTATAGTTCTGTTAAAATTAAGTCACCCCACACACTGCTGTAAAGTTGCTGTTCTATTACTGCTATTTTCACAGTGTATTCCTTTATTCTAAGATTTTTCTCCATTTGTCCATACAAATCCATTCTGCAGAACATATTGGCAGTCTTTTAAAATGTGATTTATAGTACCACTTAAGCACTTATCACTTGTTATTTGGTCTTCTAGCTAGATTATTATTCTGGGCTACAAAACACTAAATACCTCAGCAAAGCAAACGTTTCATAATTTATGTTTTTATATTATTTTTCTGACAGAAGATAGTATTTTTTTCTGGGCTGTTTATTAATTTTAAAACTAAATAAAGCTCCTAATGATTTAGATGTCAGAATTCCTTGTTATTCATCAGCATGATGAAGCCTAAGGCCTTGATATTGAAAAAAATATAGCTACCTCCTTAAACTAAAACATGAAAGTAGTCTCAGTTTTCTCAGGAGACTTCATAGTACTGTAAACTAATTATGCTCTTTTTTCACCTCATTCATAATGAAAAGTGATAGCCATTACTACATGAAATAGTACAGATAGAAAAATCACACATGTTTTTGGAAGCAACCCTTCCCTCGACTCTAGCAAGAGCTCTGTACTCCAAAGAGCAATTTTGCTTTTTCTACCTATAGCCTAATTAATAATATTCTCTCTCTTTTCAAGGTTTTATTCATTTTTATGCACAGATCATTACAGTGGAAACAAGACAAACACTACTTTTCTACGGCATAATCAAACAGATGAATTCCATGGATTCCAATGATGCTAACCAGGCAAAGTGACAGGAAGACTGCACCCCCCCAGCATTGCCATTCTAAAATGCAAGCAGAAAATAGTTATTTGAAAATTATTATTACACATACAAAGCTCTGAAGTCAATATTAGAAGGCATTCAAAGTGCATAATACAGGTTTTCAAATCCTTCTAAGCCTACTGACATCTAGAAAAATTAAGATACCAATCCACTATAGCAAGATTCACTGTGTACACTGAAAATATCTTCTATTCCATCACACAGAACTCTCTGGAAGCATAGGATCTGCTCTCTGAAACACTGCACTTGAAGAGATAAATGGGTAAAAAGAAAGTGGAAACTGCCCAACAAGGAGCTGTGCACTAGAATTAGAGTTTGCATGAAATTATGGGAGCTAATTTCCATAAATGACCACTATAGTCTGCCATCTCTTCAGACAAACATCAGTGACACAGATGACAATTTTGAACTGTACAAGCAAGAAAATAAATTTGGCTTACAGGAAAAAAATAAAACAAAAAAAAAACCCTCAGATCTCTCTTGACTACTTTTTTTTATGCATCGCATAACATATGAAGTTCTATAAGCAAACAAATAAAATTAGCACATCTTTAAGTAATTTTCTTCTTAAAGCAAGGAAATTAATAAATTAGGGACATCAATTATTAGCTGCTGATGCGTCACACTATGTAAATTTACACACAGTGTAAATGTATGTGTAAAAAAAAGTTCAAGAATACATAAATCAGAGTTTTAAAGGTTTTTTTGGTCTAAGAAAATACTACTTTTCACATAAACAGCAAATCAACATAACGCAGATCACCCAGCAACAAATAGTCATAAGAATCATGAGCCAGCACTGACTTAGATTTAGTGACTTTAAATTGACAGAGTGTGTAGAAGGGGGAAGAACTTACTGAAATCTGCTGTCAATTCAGCACATCATCTGCTTTGTGCCAGCAATCAGCAGCCCCCCAGTAATTCAGAAGTTCTTAACCCTTTCTTCTGGGCATAGAATGAGATCACCACAACAACCTTTAAAGATCTTATATTGCAAAACACTTTATCAAACTCAAGCTGAGTTTTCAGATGCTGAGCAAAATGTTTGGACAAAAAGTAAGAAGACTACTAAAAGTAAATATATAAGTAAAGAAGCAAAATGAAATAACATGGATAAAACTTTCAGAAAGTATTTTTAGCAGCTTGTAATAGAAGCCAGTTCCTAAGATCCTTATTTTCTCCTTCCCTGTGATAGGTATTCAAAAGTTCTCTATTTTGAAGCCAAATAAATCTCCAGTACAGCACTAACCCAGAGAATGAATAAAACAAATTGGAAGGGCAAAAGCCTAAGTATACAGAGCACTTTATTTTAAATTCTATTTTAAAGTAGTTCCATCTTGATAATGTCATCAAGATGAACATTTCAAAAACCCCAAATACTCTCTTCAGAGCTCTGAATTGAAGCAGAAGGATAGTACAACATTGTTATTCTTTCACATTGACAGACAGAAGATGAGCAAACTGGAATTGCTAAGAAACCATCAGCTGTCTAAAGAGTTTGTTTCTAACAATCCAGTATTTGCAGCTCTCAGTTTTGGAGAAAAGTCTGTGAATGAAATATCTTCTCATGAACCCCCCTTCTATACAATACTTTAATGAGCCTTGTTCCTGCATCTTCAGCAAAGGCAGCTGAACAATGGGAAGCCTGTGCAGAGCCATTGCCCCACATGTTGTAGGTCTCTTAATGAGTTAATAACATTTAGGTCACATCCTGCACAATCAGCATCACAATCAGAAAACACCAAAACTCACACATTGCTCTTTAGTGGTGCTCCATATCTTTGTCTCTTTCCCCAGCCATAACTGCTATACCATCTTCTTGCCTCATGACTGGTCTTCCCTATTAGACCACATTAATTCATGACTCCAGCTCTATCACTGGCTTTCTTGGAAATCATCCTATTGTGTTCTTAGGACTAACACAGGCTATAGAACATGTATGCAATGTGGAAACTCTAGAGAATACATACACAAAAAAATACTTATGTGCCATTTCAGTATTATATGTACATGAAAGAGCAGGAAGGCTGAAGACTAGCTTGGCAATAATTGCAAAATGACTGAATGACTGCTAGAAAATTTGAAAGAAGCTGACATCTTGTAAAAAAAAAACCCAAAACTTACAATCATAGCTTTGGAAACAAAAAACTTCTTTTACAAGGCTTACACATTCCTCTGTCCTATGGGATACTATACAAAGTAGCTGCAAGTCTGTACTATCACACTATCCAATGCATTCTGTGTGGAAAAAAAGTTTCTTCTTCTGCTGGTTTTAAATCAAGTATCAACAAAGATATTCTGATATCTGGCTCAAAACACCATTTTTGTGATGTTACCCATTGATGACAAATTACTCAACTGGGAAGATTACAAAACCCTTCATTTCCATTTTCTGGTCTTCCTATCCTTGAGAAACATTGTCAGGCTAAGAAATAGCTATGGGGAGCCCCCTGTTAAAATGCTAGCAGTGATAATGCACATTAATTTTCACCACTGTCTCATGAGTATCTTCATGCTGGGAAGGGAATCATTATTTACATACTGATGAGAGCAGCAGAAAGATACTTCCCTGTAGATTCATATAGGCAGTATGCAAGAATGGGACTGCAGGGTTCTCAAACTCTCACCTGAAGTTTCTGTACAAAAAGGGACACATTTATAACCCCCTACTGCTTTACAAAGAAGAAGATAATCTGTTCTCCATGCCCGTCGTGAACAAGACTAGTAATGGGTTTAAATTACAATGAGAAAGATTCAGCTTAAACACAAACAAAACCCCTTCTATTAACAGAGACTGGAAGATATTGCCTGGGGAGACTGCAGAGTTTCTTTCATTTCAAAACTTGAACAGAAGCTTAGACAAACACCTGTTCTAAATCTTGAGCTTGCTGAGCTTTGAACTGTCCAGCACATTAAGCATGGCAAGGTTCCACATAAGCTCTCCAAGCCGATGAGCTAGCCAACAATTCACATGTCCAATGCTATTCAACTTACAATAAGAGCTACTTAGCAGCAGGTACAACAACAAAACCCACATTTTATTTTATTCTCATCCCTAAAAAGAGAGAAATACATTAAAATAATGTTGTGGGTTTGATTAAAACCTGGCAGTAAAGCAATCCATCACTACTTCCTTTAATTTCCAAAACTACCTACAAATTCAGTATCTGTAACTATGCCTATAAACTGCAAAAATGGAGGCATATTTTGGTCTCAGTTGATAAAACCTGAGTTTGACTGATGATTATATCAAAATTGTAATGATCTCACCATGTATTCACTAATAAACGCATTGGACAAGAGACAACATCAACTCACAATCTTTATTTTAAGGAAAAGAACATAAACATATTCAGATTTCCTTTTTTACATATGTATCTGAACACCTGTTGTCTACTTTATGCTCTGTAGCTGAGCACAGTAATTATTTAGACAAACACACAGAGCACAAGAGGAATTTGGAAAAAGCATAAAGTAAATTGTTGAGTGGAATCTTGAATTCTTGATAAAATAATATTGGAGTTTGTTTTGTATTAGAAAGAAACAAGACAAATTTATTTAAAAGCCATGTTTCCCAGGTACTCATAGCACATCTGAATGTCCAATTCACCAACATCCTTTTTAAAGTTTTAACATCAAAACCAGACACCAGCATTCCTATTGTTTTCAGTAATGCCATCTAGAAGGGAATATTAGCTAGATACTTTCCAATATTTTTCCTTACACAATGAAAAACACTCTGCATTTCTTTCAGGGCTGGTTTCATTTGGAAAGATGGTCAGGGACATCTCTTAGCATTATATGTTTGGCCCTCAGCAAGCAGTAAGGGGATTGAGTTCATTAATAAAGCTCATCATCTTTCAGGAAACTTATCTTTCACATTTCTGCTTACCACAAACAGCCAAAAGGAAGAACAAATAGTATTTCAATTTAAAACATGTGGGTCTCTTTTTCTGACCTCCACTGAGGTTCTTGCGCTGCCCCAGGACCATATCTGAAATCCCTACAGATCTTTAGACTTGACACCTCCCATCTAAAAATTGTTTAATTCCACTTCAGCTCATTATTTAGTTACACAGACATACACCCACATACACAACGAGCTGAACATGACTTAAGGGCCTAGCCAAGAACTTAAGCTTCGGAATTAGTGTTCCCCTTCCATTCTAGCAGTAAGAACACAGGAAGAGCAGTGAAGTCAGTAATGTGCATGAGCTGCTTGAGGCAACCCATTGTAAATGTGAAACCAGACAGCTGCAGTTCTGCAGGACAGTTAAGAGTGAGCATGACCAGCTGGGAAAAGGGTTACCTTGCTCATGATAAAAATTGCATGCACTATCTACAATCAGAAAATGGGCACACATCAAAGTACAGCTACTTTTCTTCATCCTTTTTATTTTGGAATTTAGGAAGCTGGAAAGATTATTCAAGAAAGTCTGCAGAAGCACCTTCACTGCTAGAACCTATCCTTCATGATGATTTTCCAGACACTGGACAGCATTCTGGTCCCTTCTATTGAAATCATATTTTGTCATCAGTTTAAAATAGACAAAATTCTCTTCAATCAACACTGCAGACACCAGCTGTTCAAATAAGTTATTACAGTTCACAACCACATTGCATCCTTTTGGAAAAATTGATGTAATTCCCAGTAAGTAAAGCACAAGTGCTGTAAGATTATTTCCATCTTAGTTGTTACACAATATTTGAAATGGCCTTTTTCCTAAAATGGGTTTTTTCCCCAGCTATGCTCTAGATGCAGCTCTCATTCTGCATTTAAACAGTGTTTCAGGTGAATTAAAAAGGACAGATATGGCAGCCCTAAAGTAATATATGAAAGTCTTACTGTATTAGTCATTTTTCCTGTCATTTTATATTAGTGTCATATTAGTCTAATGCAATACTAACATGATACCGAAATGTTAGCATATCACAGATTACTCAGTGTGTCAAGCTTGAGTCTGATCATATTACTTTACTATGTGTATTCCAGTGATGAAACTCTTCCTTTCCATGCCCTAAAACTGAGCAGGACTAACAGAAAACACTAAGCACAGGCTGTGCAAGAGCCTAGGACTTGCATAACAGGTATTAACACCTCTTGTGCCAAAGGAAAGAACCAATCTGTAACAGATCAGATAATATTGATTCAGTCCAGGATTCTGTTAACATGAGTAAGATATTCCTTTTCACTTTAAGAAGATTTTTACTGTCTTCACACAAACTGGAGAATTCCCATCTAAACAGTAGCACTTCCAAGGGCTTCTATGATAGGAGATACTCCCTTTGAATCTTCTTTGCAGAACCAAGAACTTTTAAAATTAGGTAATAAAAAATCATGTTTTCTTTAAGTTAATTTTATTCTAGTGGCCTATCATCAAACAGAAAGTCAATCACATAACTGAGATCTGGGAACTGTGGCTGGGTCAGGTCTAGAAAAAAACAGCAAAAATGCAGAGTAACTTCTGACCTAGGCAGTAATCATATAGGGGATGTTAACAAAAACAGCATAAAAATCCCATCCAATCCATCTCTCCTACATTCTCTTTGGTGATAATTTGTCTGTTGAACCACTAATTGAACATTTCTAATCTGGGTGAATACCACTGCCATTACTGAGTGTTCTATTTCCTCTCAAGATGAAGAGGTCCAATCTGTTTCTGTTTCAGGGGTGCCCGTGATTCTACAATTTATGTTACTACAGCATTTTAAATAAATATTTAAGTAAGTAAAATATTTAAATAAAGGGTTTAATGAAAACAAATATAGAACCCAAGTAACAGATATGAAGGGATTTGCCATAATAAGGTCAGTTAAAATTAGTATGAATCCAAAGCAACAAATCAGGTATGTGTCCTGCCTGTGTACAGATAAGTTCATTTGTTATTACTGAATAGGTAAAGAGAAGGGCTCTGCTCAGAGATTGTGTTATTTTTGCATTGAATTTGTATTCAGGAGCAATTTTCTAGTCTGAAATGTAATTAAAGTCAATACTTGATATCTTGGCCAAGAAAATAGACTAAAATCACATTCTAAAGGCCTTTGGAAATTCAGCTTCATAGACATTTACAGAGGAACAAGAAACTTTCAGAATTTGAAATCCTCCTATGTGAAAAGAAACATTGCCAAAAATTAGGAAATATTTTGGCCAAAATAAAATTCACTTATTTAGGAATCCTGTGATTTAGGAATCAACTACTTGGATTTGTCCCAAAACTGTCATTAACTAAGGAAACTTTCAGGGGAAAAAAACCCCATTATTTTCATAGTCTTTGCCTAGTGATTACCCTGCCTCTTGCAATTATTGCCTTTTGCAATAATTACTATGGATTACATTTTAGTGAGGTTACACAGCTTCCCTGTCTCATTAAGTTTCTTCATAATTTTCTTGTACGTGTCCTCAGTAACTACCACATGATGACAATTAGTACAGTAGAACTGTCGACAAGGCGACCAGTAAGAACTATCACGTGAGGTTTACATACACAGACATTCACATGTACCCTGACAAGAGGCACAAGAGCAAGGGTTATTTCTAGTTCGTTCTTGAATAAGTGGGAAATGATGGATAGAAAAACATTAAGTAGCAATAATAACAAACAGCAGAGTCATAATAACCCATACATGCAGAATTCTGCTGCAGTATTTAACTATATGTTGCAGTTGATTTTTTTTGTATTTTAAAGGTTAAGTGTGCATATTACAGAGCTGTGTTCAACTATAATAGAATGGTATAAAAATTTCTCTTCACAGTACACTCGAGGTATAGACATGGGCCAACTTACTGCTTTAATACCATCATTTGTACTTGTTGTATGCAAACATGCAGTTATTTCTGTATACACAAAAATGAGCCCCTCACACATCACTTCCCAGCTATCCCAAATACAGACAGGCTTTTGTACAAAAATAAGTGGTTCACAAATACCAAGTACAACACACCATAAAATTGCTGCTTATTGTTTCAATGCTTTTTAAAATTATTTTTGGCTCCCCGTTTACTGTAAGAACCGGTAAAGTTTCATCCTAATTTTATAGGTTTTAAGTCAAGACTCAAAACATCAGATTTTACATAAACAAACACCATAGAAAGCTAGACTGCTAGTTTAATACATTTCAATGTACTGAAAATACTGTAAGCATGTGATTTGATGAAGAGTTTTCTTGAATTTGGTTAAATATTTAAAGCTTTTTAGAGTCCTATGTAAATCGAATAAACACACATTTGATCAAACTGCCATCTGCTGGGTATTCCTGGGATTTAAGCTGTTTGGTTAAACACACACAGACACTACAATGTCTGAAAATATTGTAATAGGAACATTACAATATTTACATTTTTTACAATATTACTGAGAAATTTTTACATTTTAATTTAATTTTTTATTTTTTTTTTTAGTTTGGTTAGCAATAACCAATTGCCCTTGTTCCAGCAGAAATCCTGTCTTCAGTAGCCATGTTAGAGACATCTTGTGACCTTGCCCTGTATAACCCATCCTCCTTGCACCAAAACTCACACTCAGCTTGCTGGGCTCAGCTCATGCAGCTTCACCTGTGCAGCCCTGGAACAGAAGAGAGGACACAGCTAAAATCCACATTGCCTGAAGCAACTATTTTCTGTGACCAAAAAAAAATATAAATTAATACTAAAGGAATAGGAGCAAATTACACCCATAAAAACAAGCTGTATAAAACAGAGTGCCAAATTTCCAAGAACTCACTTTTCAGTGAGTTTAAGGAAATATTTGTTCTTGGAACCATTGAAGGTTATATCCATCAGGAAGCCAGGCTACTCTGATAAACCTGTTTAGTACATTAACTGTGGTACAATCAAGTGCAAACAGAGTGTTCCCAGAAAATTATCATTATAAGAAATAATGGTTGTATGCAGAATTTAAAAATGAGATTTCAAATTATTTAGGTACTGAGGATGAAAGGAAAACTAAAATCTAGAATCGTACGAAAACCACGAACAAAACAGATGCATTATACAGAAGAAACACCTATTGCACTCATCTTCCATCTAAGAAGAGGGTGAAGTTATGAAATACAAGCACAGACCTATCAGTGGGGAATTGGGCTGATCTGAGAGGCACAGATATGTTCATTGAGATATGGCTTCAACTTCTCCAAAGCATTTTGGCTATAGGTTCTGAAGCTTATCTGTTTTGCAAACCCACTGTGTCACCAGCTGCTTATTTCCTTGAGTCCCTGATGACATTTTAAAAATCCTAAGTCACCTTTTTAAACACTTCTAGGACATTCAGAAGCAAAAGGTCAGGTACCACAGTTTTTCCTAAAAGTGAAAGATCTCTTCTAGGACATGGAAGATAGTAGTACATTGCTATGTAAAAGGAAGATGTGCTTGGAGATGCAGTTTAGAAGCTCTGCTTGGGAGGTAGGACAGCAGCTCACACAGTTCAACCTTCCCCCTGAAGCAGAGCTACTCAACCAGCTCAGTTGGGGCTTCAACTTGCTGATAAACCTGAGGTTCCAAAGGTCCATGTGCACCTAAGTTTGCACAAAAAGCATCATAAATGAGAAATACAGGTAGCCATGGTAGTTGTTGGGTGTCTAGCAGTGCAGGGGCTCTAATCTTCAAACTTCAGGACATCTGCCAAGATTAAGTACTTGGGATAGGACAACACTGAAAATCATCAACCACAAATTTATTTCAATCCTATATTTAGACAACCCTTGTTTCTACCTAATGTAAGGTTCCTTTGGGGGAACAGAAAGACAGTGATGAATTGCATGTCCACAGGATGCCAGTGTGGGATCTCAAGCTTCAGAGATTTTTCTTAGGGCTCATCCTCTATATCAAAGAGGTACAGGAAGGGTAAAGGGTAAGGAACATGAACTCAGTTGTGTCTCATCACACAACTTTCCTTCTGGAGCACAGACAGGATTCATGTATGGGAGAGGAAGGCTGATGCAAAAATGGTTCAAGACAGAAGGATGTTGTCCTTTCTTGTCTAGGCCTTAAAATTATGTTACTTTACCTGCATTTGGACCACATAGGTCTAAATAAGCTAGAGTTCACTTTTGTTTAAAAAAAAAACCAAACCCAAACAACTCACATGCTTAGCTTTCCTGTATAGGGAAAAATACAGCAAGAAATATACACTTGCTTGTCACACTTTCCTACTGATGAAACTCTTTTCAAAATAAATTGGATTGATAAAGATATGCTTTTGCTATTGTTGTGGTGTTAGGGCATAGGTTGGACTTGATGATCTTGGAGGTGTCTTAAGGTGTTATTTTATCCACTTTAATACAAAGAATATTTCTCAGGATATCAAATAACATATATAAAAGAGTACCTAATTTTTATTCCATTTATATTTTTCATATATCACACAGACCTGTGAATATGTACACATTCCATAGAAATACTCTTTCTTATATATACCTGAAAGCACTGACACAAATAGCACAAAATACTAACATGGTCATGCCTGAAACAAACTACAGTGGAAATGGGGGCAAGTGGGGTTGTCAAGTGAGTTTGGAACACTTATATAAAGTCTAGTCCACCATCCTGCTCCATCAAGGTAATTTCATGGAGTAGATTTTTCCACCAGTTTCCTAATAAGCAACATACAAGGATTACGCCCAAAAATCATACATATGGAAATCTGACACTGCACAAAAAAATAAGATTACCTCTGGCCCCAATCCTGACAATGAAGGGCTGGCACAAATACTTCCACTGCTGAATTAAGTAAATGCTCCTCAAGCTGTATTAATATTTGACACTTTCACATTACTTTTCATCCTTGTCAAACTATTGCATTTCTAGACCAATTCGTCTTTGTGCTGTAGCTTCATACAATTAAGAGTAAGCACTTTACATTAAAATTATTTTCTCCATGCTCTGACATTGCTATATTCACATAAAAGTGGCATAACATACTTCCTTCATTTTTGGATGCTAGGGAATTGAAATACTTGAAATATTTGAAAGTTAATTTTGCTGATAATTCAGGGGTTTAGTATTTAATATTGCATATACTCCATGCTTATGCCTATATATGGATGGAACTGAATGCTTGTTTTCCCTCCACTTGTGCTGAAGAATTCTCATACAACAGTCAAACAATTTAACCCTATTTTATACATCTGTGACTTGTACACTGCACTCACTTATCTAAAACAAAGCAATTAATCCACTTTTGTAAAGAGCTGCTCTCTTATCTGGGAAGAAAAGAAGAAGCATGTAAGGCAATGGGCAGCGATACAGATTTATTCATGGAGTAAAGAAAAATACTTCAGTGTGAAAAAATGGCCTAATGCTGGAGCCAGCCACTCTGGCATAAGATTTTGCAAAACCCATTTTGAGCATCTGTTTTAAGTATTTCACAGAATAGTTAGGGCAACACTTGAATAATTCGTGTTTTCTGCTTACTGTAAGCCATACATATATTTCTAAGCAGGCTGGTAGATATTCTCTATTAAGCTGGTGAAGGATTAAAAGTATATATGGACAGGGCACAAAGAAACTACATTTACATCACCAAAACTCCAAAGTTACATTTATGGTTTGTTGGTTTTTGTTGGTTTTTTTTTTCACTATAAAATATATTCCATTCTGAGAAGATAAACTTCAGCCACTTATCCACATCCTGACATTTTCTTCCATTGTTAAATTTTTCCAAGTGTGGTCTCATGTATATCTAGCTAATCAGTAATATAACTTGAAAGGCAGCACTGAATAATTCTACCAACTATTGCCATGAAAACTTTTATTTTTCTATCTATAAAGACTTAAATATTGACTCAAAACAGTAACAGGCAGGAACAGAAGTGATTTCAAGTCTATAATACTTTTCTATCTTTATCATGTAATATTGAGTTAAAAATGTAAGAAATGTAAAAAAAAACTCTAAAGCTCCGAAGAGGTACAAGCTACATATGAAAATTGTAGCTTGTAGCAAATTGCGTGGATATTTAATTTACTGGCACATCTCTGCTTGGCTCTCCTCAGAAAAGGTAAGGTTATAACAAAAGAACCTAGAAAAGAAGATCTGCAGAACAGCATGTAGGGATGCCTTACTTTACTATTACTCTTTGAAATAATATGCTGTGAATAAAGAACCAATTTTACACAAGATTCTCCAAGAGAACATGGATGTTACAACAATATCCTAGATCTGATCCTTTGTTTATGAATGCTAAAGCACAGAACCAGAATATCAGTTTATCAGTTACCGGTTTACCTTCTCTGTAAACAGGGAACGCTTAGTGCTTGGCCTTCACCCATGTTGCATTAGCATCCAGTCATCTACACAGTACACTTCAGAGGATTATACATAATTAAATATATTTTCACAATACTATACCAGCATTACAAAGTGCAAATTTAAGATGTATAAAATACCAGTATTCCTAAACGATGTTTTTAATGTAATTGTATTTTTTCGCAGTTTGAAGATGAGACAGCTCATTACTGTATAGATCAGCTTATGTAACATTAAAGAATCTGAAAGCTGTGACTCTTGAATTTGAAAATTACTAAAGCTTGAAAATCTAAAAATTTAACAGCTGTTGTTTATTAGACGGTTGTCATGCATCCATTTTAGATGTTTTAATACGCACTAATGTGAATTCAGTGTTGCATTAGTTAAATAGTTTCCTTCAAGTCTAACTGAAAAGACTGGCCAGGAACAACTTCAAAATTCTACAAAATAGCATTCTCCTACTCTGTGTCATTTTTACTGTCTATCAATTTTCTTCAGATCATCATCTCAGTGCACATTTTTCTTCAATTATTACAACAAAAGCTCCTTTCAAGTCATATCAAGTGATGATATTTTCTTCTTGCAGCAAGCAGCACTAACAGAAAGTAGCAGTGATACTAAACATTGTCTGCAATTGTTATGGAAATATATTTATCTATATCCTGTTGTCAAGGAAGCCAAAGATCAAGGCACACAAGCTACATGCAATAATTTATACTGATTTGAAAGAACATTTCAAGGAAACATTCAAATGTATAGCTCTATACAAATCAGACTAGTTTCAAAGGCACTAGTTACCCAAGGCATGATTCTGAAAGAGTGGTATTTCAATCAATATTAAATTCATTACTTACATCCTCTATGTTCTATTAATATCCACAGTACATCCAATTTAACAGCTCAGGCACTCTCAAACTTCTAGCACTTTTCTATCCTGGCATTAGACCAATTTCAGCAATGCTCCAAATTACAGAAAAGGACATTTGCTGACATTCCACATTTGTTTCTTTTTCATAAGGCAAGGCTCTTTATTCAAGTCTGTTTTTTTGTAGTTGACCAATTTTCTAAAATGGCAAATTCATGTGCAAGTTTGATTTCTCACAACATGGACCTGCTACTGTTTTATAATTTATGTTCAGTTTGTTCCATTTTTACTTATTGAGAAAGGAACACTTCCTCTTTTTATGTACTACCAAGTAGGAACACTTCCTTACAATGAAATTGTCTTTTTCTACATAGGTGTGAAACATGGTTTTACCTGTACATTGGCATAACCACTACTCCTAGAAAAACAGAGTGCCACGTAGCATTTCATTTTAGTA